AGCTTCGCATATTTGGGTAGATAAAGGGAATTTTATGCTAGATATTCGTTGTGCCAAGAAAGCATTTGCTGCCTAAAAATCAAAGTGATAAAATAAATACTGCAATCTATTGTTTTATTTTTTAGAATTATTCAAATTTAATTTTATTAATAAATTACAATACACATTTTCAATATTTATAATTTATTTACGGAAATATTAATTGCTTAGAAGAAAATTAATAACAAGTTATTATAATAACAAGTTATTAACAAAATTAAGTTATAGATTTTTCTATTACGAACGGAAGTTTCGGCATCCTGAACTTTTAAATTAAAACTAATTATTATTAATTTTTTAATAAATTACACATAATAATTATTTCTTTTATGACATAATATAATACATAATATTTAATTATGATATTATCATTATAATATTCGACATTGTATACATAAGTCATGAAATATTGTTTTAATAAATAAATGAGAAAATAGCAATGCATTAAAATTTTCTTCGTATTAAATTTAAGTTATTTAAATAATTTATTCACATCTACAAATAGTATCTTGCAATACAATCTGATAAAGTGTGCTCATTAACATTGTTATTACAACAGGAATGTGAAATCTGTGATTACTCACCAGCTTCGACAGTTCTGAACTCCATATATTAGTAGTTAAAATATTTTCTCTTGGAATCCAATGTTCGTAAATTTTGCAAAGTTCTTCGATAGCCGCTTGTCCTTCTGGCGAGTCTTGTCCTCCAATCAGTACTCGATCCGCGTTTACAAGATCTTCTATAGCTGTTCCTTCAGCCAGAAATTCCGGATTGGAAAGAATCTGAACAAAAAATAATTAGTATTCACATAAATATCATCAAAGAATTAAACATCAAGAAATATGCTATAAACAAATCGATGAATAATACATAATAATGGTAATTGTACAAAAGATCAAGAATAATTATGCAGCAAGTGTCATAAAACAAGAAATCTTATCTTGAACAAACGACGTTGATTTAAGTAAGTATGAAATCATGCTATTAATACTAGTGATTCGATAGTCGATCAACAATGGATGCAATAAAAACATAAAATGCAATTCAATATTTCTTTCCATGCAATATTATGTTGTGATAACGTAAAAATACTTAAATCAATATCAAAGATAAATATAAAAAAAAAAATACAAAGAGAGAGTACCATAAAAATTTATTAGATAAAAAATATATTACACAAATGATATAATGGTTATAAAGAGATTACCGTTTTTACATTTAAATTACAATTACAACAGAGAATAATCTCACCTGATATGATACACCTGGCTTGTGATTAGCGCGAAGAATGTTCATGATACTTTCGGCCGCTCTTATTGGTACAGTACTCTTTTCCACGACAATCTTATCTCCCGTTGCAACTTCCGCGATCATTCTTGCAGCGCTTTCCACATATTTTAAGTCCGCCGCTCTTCCCTTACCGTTGCCGAAAGTTTTCGTCGGCGTGTTCACCGAAATGAATATCAGATCGGCTTCTTTAATTGCTGTTTTGGTATCGGTAGAGAAAAATAAATTTTTCCCACGACATTTTTGCACTACTTCATCCAAGCCTGGCTCGTATATCGGTAATTTCTGCGAATTCCATTGCGCTATCCTCTCCTTGCTCTTATCGATAACAGTTACTTGAATTTCCGGGCACTTCAGAGCAATAACGCTACACGTAGGTCCACCAACGTAGCCGGCTCCGATACAACAGATTTTTCGAACACTTGTCATTTTGATCAACTATAATATCATTTAAGAAACTCTTATATTGTGTTATTTAAAATTGTATAGAAAAAATATTATCCTTTTATATATATATATATAAATTAATGCAAATATATTTTATATTACAAGTAAATTATTTTATCTACACACAACACACACACACACACACACACACACACACACACACACACACACACACACACACACACACACACACACACACACATATGTATGTATGCAGGTATGTATGTATGTGTATAGTAAATGCAAATAAATTTTACTTTGTAATATAAGAAATATATTTCATAATTAATGTTTCATTATTTTTTATATAAAAACTAGTTACAGAATAATAAAAAACTTCTTTAAGTTAAGTCTTTAACTTCTATAAGTTTTTTATAGCTTCATTTATAAAATATAAAATATCGAAATAAAGAAATTAAATTGATATATGAATTGATATATGAATTTCTCTTTTTCTTTATTACAATTAATATCTTACTATACTTATTTTATGATTAGAGTAAAATTCACAATTGTTATTAAAGTGTAAAATATAAACATAGATGTATTACTCTTTTTTAATTTCAATATTTATGTAAGTATTATATTTTAAGTTAAAAAAACAAAGAAAGATTGTAAGAAATATTATTGTAAAGTTTCACGTCGTAAATCAATAGCTTAAACAACTAAAGATAAATCTAATAGATTAAATAGACTATCTAATAGATAGCAAGAAAAATGTTTAAAAGAAACTTATATTATTACTCAATACAATTGGAAAGAACATTTTTGTTGAAATATCTAAAAATTATACCAGATCAAGTCCAAATATTTATGTGTTGTTACCAAAATATTTATGTAAGATATAAATTAGTTGGAATATCAAAAATCTTTGTATTATTATCATTATGCTTAAACGTTCTGCATAATAATTTTAATAGCTAACAAATTCTTTTTTTAAATTTATATCTGGCCAAATTTTTAAACATTTTAGCAAAACTATTCTTTTTGTGCATTAAACCATGCATTAAGCATTTATTTAAACAATTAAATCGATTACATCAATTTTTGGTAAATAATTATTTTACGATACAATATCTTTACAACTGAAATAAAAATTTTAGAATACTTTCTCTTAGAATTACTTTCTCGGACTAACGAATACAAACTCCAAAGAAAGCATTCTTTTTTATCTCCACAATAGATATCTCTACAAGGAAAATTATCATTGTTCTAATGTAAAAATTTCCGGAAGCTGATAAAAACATATCTACCGATTTCTTCTGTGTGATTAGTATATCAACAAAAAATTCAAATACGTTATCTTCATATTATTATTATTATTTATGATATCAAGAGATTCTCCAATGTTTACACATTTTTTTCATTTTCCAGGATATATTTTTTTATATATATATATATATATATATATATATATATATATATATAATAAATAATAATATTATATAATAAATAATAATTA